GTGCAAGTTCACCCACAGGCTCAGCCTCCGGTGCAAGCTCCTCCTCTGGCTCCGGTTCGAGCTCTGCCTCCGGCTCAAGCTCCATTACCGGCGGAAGCTCCTCAGGTAGAAGTTCTGGCAACAGCGGAAGTGGTTCCTCCGGTTCATCCTCCGATTCACAAACAGCTGGAGCTGGACATTCAGCAAGCGGCTCCATGAGCGGAAGCTCGGAAGCCAGCGGCAGGCGCTAGTTCCTCGGGTGGAGGTAGCGGAGGAAGCCGAGGCTCGGGAAACATGAACTTCCAGGGCTCAATGGACTATCAAAGCTCTGCCAACAAATCCCACAGTGCATCTTCTTCAAGCTCATCATCGGAGACGAAACACAAGGGCGAGTACCGATACCATTACTAGTAGATTTCACACAGACAATAAATCCATATGTAAAAAAATGATGTCTAGAAGAGACATCCTACGGCATAGATATGAATAATCAGAGAGAATGACGGCCCTGCTTGAATACAAGCAGCGAGCTGAATGATTTTTGTTATAACCATTCAAAGATTATTTTTTTTTCTCTTTCCATATTTACAATGAAAAGTACCGTATCTTCTAATCCCAAAAGGGTTCACGAAAGTTGAGAACTTTGCAGCAAATCCACCAAGGGCCACTGAGAAACCTGAAACAATGAACAAATACAAGAATTTTTGGATCTTTCTGATAATTTTTTTTGCAGAAACTGGTTTTTAGCTCTACAAGGATCATCAAATCATGGGCAAGTCCTATCAGCACTTGAGAACCGAACAATATGATCACCGAAATCTAGAACTACCATTTTCATTCGATCTCCTAAACAAAAGTTCACTCATCGTTCCATCCACCCGAGAAAGAGATCGGTTAGGTAAAACACACGAGTAAAGCTTGTTCAAGACTTGCGCTTGGGGGAACGGTGAATCAGGTGGTTTCGATGATAAGGAGAGACATGAGGGGCATTAGGAAGAGACAGGTTCCTCGCGGGATGTCCTGTTCTTGCCAGAACTCTACTTCCACTTCTAGAGATCGTCTCGGCTTGCATGGCCTGAAAGTAAGATGAGGAACAAGCCATGTCCTTCAAATCAGGTAAAGGCTTGAGGGTTTCCACAACTTCACTCATCAAAGGTCGAGACTTGGGATCGCGACTGAGACATCTTGCAGCCAACTGGATGGCCCTCTGGGCTCCTTTGATCGAAAACCGTCCTTCAAGACGATGGTCTATCAGACGGTAGAACCTCCGTTTCTCCCCGAGGTATGGACGGGCCCACTCGACTAGGTTATGTTCGCCATTTGGCCTGTTTTTGTCCATTGATCTTCTACCAGTCAACATTTCAAGAAGAACCACCCCAAAGCTATAGACATCACTCTTTGATGTAAGATGCCCTGGCCATAAACACGTCGATATATTACGGTAGATTAGTGGCTTACCAGATACAAATAAGAACATCGAAAGCAAGATAAGCAAACGTTTTTATGTTTTCACAAGGTCCAATGTTGAACAATACGGGATAAAATTGGAGTCACATGTCGAGGAAAGTAACAATCCTTAAATCAGGGAAGGAAGGATAATACATATCACAAGATGATATTTTACCTGTCATGACATATTCTGGGGCAGCATAACCATAAGTTCCCATCACACGGGTTGAGACGTGTGTTTTGTCTCCCTCGGGAGCATCTTTGGCAAGTCCAAAGTCAGAAAGTTTCGCATTGTAGTCCTAGAAACAGAACAAGTTAGCTCATAAAGCAGGAAAGTACTAGTGAGATATTAGTGGGGGAAAAGGTGAGAGCTTTGTAGAGTAGAGATGGACCGAGTCAAGTAGGATATTAGACGCTTTGAAATCTCGGTAAATCACGGGTCTTTCAGCTTCCTCGTGAAGAAAAGCAAGCCCCCGGGCTGCACCAAGGGCTATTTTCATTCTGGTAGACCAAGGAAGTGGCAAAGACCCTAATGTGTAAGATAAGAGCAAGAAAGGAGAGACATTAGTACAAGCATAGGTATTAGGAATCACCTTATTGTTACCGTTTACAATGTTATTGGCCACTTGAAACTTCATCAGACTAGTAATACCAAAATCGCCATTATACATGCAATAAATATCCACAAGATTACAAGTACTGTTTTCCGGTTTAGGTGTTCTAAAATAATAAGCTTTTAACAATGAAGAAACCAGAGCAGAGGACATAACAGAAGCCGTTAAAAACCACGTACTTCTGAAGAGATGATTCTCTAAGCTCCCTCGAGGCATGAATTCGTACACAAGCAACCTCTGGTCATCCTCAATGCAATACCCGATTAATTTTACAAGATTCGGGTGAATGAGGTCACCGAGATAATTAACTTCGGCCTGCCATTACAAAATGAAAAGGGATATATTGTCCAAATCAGGACACAGTATAATCTGGGAACAGTCAAAATAAGTTATGACATATAGTACCAGCCATTCTTTGTGACCCTGGAGACCGTCATGGTTGAGGGTTTTGACAGCGACAGAAATTCCAGTCCCGGGCTTTGCAGGAGCACTTCCATTTTCATTGATCCAACCTTTAAAAACGCATCCAAACCCACCTTCTCCGAGAAGACTTTCTGGCCTGAAGCTCCTCGTCACTGCCTTCAACTCGTTGAACGAGAATTTCCTAAGTTGTGAAGCGACTTTCAGCTCCTCGCCTATGTTGGGAGTGGACGGAATGCTTCCAGTGTTGCTAGTGGTTGAAGACGACACAACTGGAACAACTGGTTGGTCTCTACTAGTATCATTTGTCGATTTACTCTCAGCTGAATGAAACCCGAAAAGGAAACAAAAAGGTAAAATCTGGTTAAAAAACTGTTTCAAGATCGATAAGCACCAGCCTCTAGACTTCCACATAATCATCAAAACTATTTAAGAGAGAAACGCCCAAAAAGGTAATCAAAATTATCTGTTTAAGGAGCACTAACACCATTCTACAACAATTTACTTTTGAAAGTTTTGCATATCTTGAGAAGTTCTGGAGAACAAATCACACCTTCTATGATCCCAGCTTCTAGGCTAATAAACATAAGATGGATATTATTATTTAAAAAAAAAACCGACATTGTTTTATCAAAATTAAACTCGTTCAATCGGTGGATATCATGAATTTGACAAAGCATAGGTTTCTAACCAAGCAACAAACAACAAAACTGTTTCTACACCTAACCATTTCTCCACTTATTTTACACAATTCATCGAGCATTTTCCACAATGACCAGCTTCATAGTAGCAATGAACATGAAGCCCTCAGCGGAAAGTACATTGTGTTAGATATACAATCAAGAGAGCAAAACAAAACAGGCAATGAGGTTATTGTGAAATCATCAGCTGAAAATGTGTTTCTCCAAGAACATAGTTATGAAATTATACCATATTGTATACTTGTGCTACTGGCACTGACTGAACCATCCTCTTTGGACCTTGGAGACAAGCAGCTTCCAAGGAACATAAACTTGAACCAACAGCCACTTCCCTCTCCTACACCATCTAACTTCTTCTTAGATTTGGATTCACCCAAACTCCAAGTATGTCTCCACACGGAATCCGGACCTAGAACCATCTCTTCTCACCTCCTATAAACCCTAAACTTCAAACATTTCCACCTTCACGACGCTAACTACAAACCCGTGAAAATGGAAGCTGAACCAACTTATAATCATAACCCAGATAGCAGAAGCAAAAATCCATCACCGAAACCCATCAAGATATTGATGATTACAAGCAAAAGCCGTTAACTTTCCCAGGAAAACATAACCTCGAATGCAGACAGCAAAGTCGAATTGGAAACAGGAATTTCAGCAAATGGGCATATCCCAAACCGCAAACAGGACCATGCAAGAGGATACACGGATCAACGAGAAGACAACTTCCGAGGGGGTGTAACAAAGAGAAGTGTTCGAATTCCGGCGAGTCGAAGATGGAAGATAAACCCTAGAAATCAAAATGCAGGGCGAGGAGCAGCATCAAAGCGGGAGAAAGCGAGCAACTTTTTTTTGTTTGTACGAGCGGTAGAAAAAAGAAAGAGAACCCACATTTGTCCGCACAAGACTCCACATTTGTACACTTGAATAAACAATCCGGAGAGAGAGAGAGGCGTTCGGTGTTGCGTGAAAAGGTGTGAAAGAGAGTGGGAGTGTCTGTCTGAATATACGTCGGCGAGATAATTTGGAAAGGGTAAACACAGATAACGCCAGAGAAAGTTAGGGAGGGAACATGATTTTTTCTAAAAATAAAGAAAAATATATTAAATTAACCTAAAGTTTTCTGCATTTCAAAAGAAGGAAGACGTGTTTTTTTATTTTATATATTATTTATAAAAGGTTAATATGGACTAATGAAAATTAATTCATTTTTACTATATATTATGAGTCATGAGTGAACATATTTAAACGTCGTGAATCGTGGTGCCCTTTTTATAGCGAGTCCATAGATAATGTCTTTTCGCTCTTTAGAAAAAAAAAAACTATACAACTTTGATATTTTAAAATTATTTGAACCATCCAAAATTTTCAAATAAACCAATTTCACCAAACTTATCGACGTTGAAAATTATATTTTTACCATATATAATTTTCATATTATAATAAGTGGAGACTATACTTGGAGCATAATATCCATTTTCTTTAAAATTTTATTAAATTCATAAAAAAATTTCTTTTTTTTTTAATATTACAGGGGGCATGTGACCCCATTCGTTATAGAATGGATCCGCCCCTATTTATATATATATATATATGCTGAGGATCTTTCCGTATCGTTTTTTTTTTTTGGTGAAATGTCCGTATCGTATCATAAAAGATATGAATTACTACTATAGCAATGATATATTTTACGTGAGCTAGAGATTACTTGAATTGGGCCAACTATAGGCCCATGTCTGACAATAAGACACTATAATTTATGGGCCTAGTCTTTTGGGCTCTTAAAAATCAATGCTGAAGTCGTTCGAAATGCCTTTTTAAATTTATAAATATAATAATAAGGGTATACATGGATATATATATATATATAAGTATATTTTATATTATAGTGGTTAATAAAACAAAAAAAAAACCCATGTCAAAATAATAGGGATCCAATATCTGTATTGTAATTTTGTCTTACCCATGTCATAAGAAACGATGGAAATTGATGTATAACGTCTTGAAGTTTTATGAATTTTCGTCTCCCAAAACGTGTTTGTAAAATTTTAGGAGAATTCTATAAAAACTCGCCCAATGGGTTCATTTATACTAAACTAATAAATAGATTTTAGTTTTAAAATTAAAACATATTATACTAAAGTTCTATATATGATTATACATTTAATAGAATGGCATATATTTACTAATACATTTTCAGACTCTCTAATAAAAAAAATATATATTGTGATTATGTAATTCGTATCGTTTACGTGATACCGTGTTATGATTTTTTGCTGTGATGTCGAATTTCGCCATGAATGGGAGAGGATCCAATACTAATTATATGTAATATAATTTCAAAAGCTTATGATTATTTTTAGAGATCTACAATATGTAGTATGCTATTATATTTAAAATTGGAATATATATACACACACTAATATGAGACAAAATGAATGTTGAAATTTCTATGAAATATTCCAAAATTCATAAATTCATTATTCACTTATATTCTAACACTACAAAAAAACAGTTAAATAGCGACGGAAAAATCCGTCGCAAATACAAAGGAAATCCGTCGCAATTAAGAATTTGCGACGGAATGCGACGGATTTATTTCCGTCGCTATAGCGCTGTCGCAAATGTATAACGGTCGTTAACCCATCGCAGGAAAAAATCTGCGTTTCGCGGCGGAAAGTGACGGATAATTCCGTCGCAAAAATTCCGTCGCATTCCGTCGCAAATATTTTAAAAAAATTTTTAAAAAATATAATATAAAAAAATTATATACTATATATACACATACATATATACATTTTCACATACACATACATTCACACACATACATTACACACATACAAATATACATACACATACATATATATACACATATTCATATATACACAAACACACATACACATTCACACACATATACACACATATATACACATACATAAATACTCATATACATATACATTTCACAAACACATACACATACATATAAACACACACATATACACATATATTCATATACACATACAATCACATATACATACACATACATATTCACATTCACATACATATACACATACACATACATAAACACACACACATACACATTCACACATACATACACATTCACTTACACACATACATAAACACACACAAACACATCTAACACACATATATATATACATAAATACATATATATTACCTTATGGGAGAAATTTGGCGATCTTTGGAGAGATTTAGAAGAAATTTGGTGATTTTTAGTTTTTTTTTTCGGAAATCTTTGAAGTCTGATGAAGAAGACGACTCGTGGTTTTATATTGCGTTTTGCGACGGAATTTTCCGTCGCAATCCGTCACAAAATGAAATTAATTTACGCGCCCAAAATTCAAAAAATTTCATCGAAAAACGAAACCAAATACATTGCGACGGAATATTCCGTCGCAATCCGTCGCAATTTTTATTTTCCGTCGCAAATCATCTATTTCTTTATTGTGACAGAATTATCCGTCGCAAACCGTAGCAAATTGCGACGGGTTTTGCGACTGTTTGCGACGGATAATTTTTATTCCACATTCTGTCGTAAAATCGTCACATTCCGTCGCAATTTTCTTTGCGACAGAAATTTCCGTCGCAAATTCCGTCGTTATGCAAGTTTTTTTTGTAGTGTAACAGATATTCATTAACTAAAAAATGGAATAACAACTGTATATAAGACGAAATCAATACAACGACATTATAATGAGCGTCAAGTTTCGAAGCTAAAATTAAACATGTGGCATGGACTCATCCATTAATATAGAAAATGAGAAATATGAAAAATAAACAGATATGATCATTGTTAAATTCCATGAAATTCAGTATTTGGAAAAAAAAAATTGGATAATGAATTAAAATAAAAAAATAAATAGGCAGAATTTCTTCAAACATGGAATAGTGGAGGCCACATTACGCTGTGTCCGAAGGGGTAACAGAAGACAAGACAAAGACAAAAACAGGGTCCAAGAACCCGCACCCACTAACCCACTCCTCTGCATGCATCTTCTTCACCTCACTTTCCACAATTTTAATTAATACGAACCACCCTTTATCTCTAAAAGAATTACAAAATTTATTATTCTAATTTTGTTGTCGACAGTAAATTTTAATATACACGATATATTATTTATCGATTAATTTGATTTCGCCAATCATCGTTGCCGGTGAAAAACATAGTTTAATTGAAGTCTATGACATACATTTAATGTCTGATATTTACATTATTCATGCGAAGACAACAACATTATGATTTGTTAATTCTCTAAATATGCGTGGTTTAGAACAATATATTCCAAAGCCCTTTACAAAAAAAAAATAATCCAAAGCCGCGTTTGACTAAAAAAAATGTTATTTGTAATGTTTAACTAGCTAGGATTATGCTTATATACTTTATTGGACTTGCATTATAGGTAAGTATATATATATATATATATATATATATATATATATATGTGGCAGACTTTGAATTTGACTCATTGAATCAAAGGCTGAAATTCAGGGGAAAAGCTTATAACTATATTAAATAAATACTATTATACAATGTAATTTCCTGAAATTGAGGTTGCATTTTGAAACACTTGAAAAAAATCAGTGGACAATTGAGTTGTGCTTTTCTACATCATTTTAGTGAAATTGAAATAAATAAATAAAATAAGATAGAAAAAAACACGTGAAAACGGATGTCCTAAAGTAGAAGGAGATTCCATTTAAATATTTTGGATTGGTCTTTTATTATTTTTAAATTTAGCAGTTTAAATTTAAAAAATGGTATTAGTTCGGATATTATTTGGAATTTGAATTCGCTTCTGATCAAAATTATTTAATTTAATATATATATATATATATATATATATATATATAATATACTCCATTATTTTTAAAATACTGATGTTATATATATATATATCTTAAAAATGGGAGAGAAAAAAGGCTATGTGCGTTATTTAAAAAACAGAGAACATGATAAATGGCAAACCCATTTGCCCACATGAAGCAATTATGAAGCTTGGCCAATCTGCATGTATGGATCCACGTGTGACCTTACTCAAGTTTTAATGCCTACATTCTCTCTCTTAACTTCCCACAAATATAATTAAACATAAAAAGTATATATTGTAAAAAATATATACACAAACTAAAAAGTAAATACAGTGATATTGGCTCATTCTGTAATTAGTAAGCCTGTCAATGGTCTATTGTTAATAATAATAATAATAATAATAATAATAATAATAATCAATATAAGATCAAGTTTCTCAAAATTCATATCTTTTTTATAAATTTTCTTTAAAACGCATTAAACCCCTCTAAATTGGCAATTTGAGTAACATTATTTTAAAATCTGTATTTTTTATAATACAATATTTTGAAAGAATGTCAGTCAATACTAATTGAATAACAGTGGGATTTTCTTGATTTAAGAGTTTTTTTTATTTACAAATTTTAATCTAACGACACAAAAGTTTGAAAATAGATTTGAGAATTTATCATTCAATATTACAAGAATTCTAGAAGATTTGTAAATCTATAAAATGCAGATTGAATAATCGCCATTATAGCTTTGCGCGTATACCATAATTGACTGCTGTGTTTGCAATTATGGCTTTGACATTATGGATCTCTGCCTTTTGTTTTAAAAATCAAGCTTAAATAATAAATATTCTAATTCTATATGTGTATTTCACTCATTTTAAGTATTTTGTTTTAAGTGAAGACTAAAATCTCTTCCGGTTATATATATCCTCACAATATTAATAATATTACGATTAAAAAATATATAATATTAGTTTAATTTTATTATAAGACATAAAATTAATAGTATTTTTTATTAATTTTATATAAATTAATCTAAATAATTGTGATGAACTAATTGGTCTGTATACACAATATTATTACCGTGATATTTGAATCATTCATGGTACGGCATCGATAGCTGCTGCAGTTGGGATTACAAGTATATTTATTTATTTTGTCGACGTATAATTATATATTAATAATATCCCCAAAATTATGTTGGATTTAAAAATTAAGAATATATCATGTCCATTTTTTTTTATAAATATATATTATGTCCATTTAATCGCGTTCAAACTTCGAAGTCACCAAATAGAAAATGCCGATTACCAACAATGGAAAGGTAGTTTTTAAGTCACTAATCTTCAATTAATACGCAACACTAAACCACAAAATCATCACATTTAATATGCAAACAACACCTAAACCACAACATAAAAATAAAAAGTCATCACCATTAATTTTCTTTCGTTTATTTTTATATATAATTTCTAATAGAGAAAATATGGTATAAAATAAAAAAGCATATAAGATTGCTTACACTATTTTTTTTTTTAAAATCCAATATATATATTATAAATTAAACTACCAGTAAAAATCTATACATTGATAGGCTTTGATAACGATAGACATAACATAGATGCACATTAATTGCATCAAGGGTAGTTATGTTTCAATTTAGAATTTTAAGTTTTAAGGTGAAATGTTCACATCAAATATGTTCATATATATATATACACATTATTGCAGCATATAAGAAAATTCGTCACGAAATATCATAATTATTAAAATCCTTCTATTCGTCATAATTTTTTGTTACGTTTTCCTCAAAGAAAGAGAAAAAATGTCATTTATAAACGTAATTTAAAAATAAATGTTTTTAGCTTTACACTTCACTATAAATATAAAATCTCTATATTGATAATTAAGATTCTCTGAAATATATAAAGCCTTTGCGCCATATTCTAATCCCAAAATGATTCAACCATGTAATGCTTGATATATTTATTTCTAATTAAAAAATTAAAAAAACAATTCAAAAATTAAAAGAAGTTATAAATATTATTCCTAATTAAAGTAACTTAAATATCATCCAATCAGGAGCGTCGATCACATACGCGCCTGAGAAGGACGTGGAAAAGCAGGAGTCTATGCAAATAGCCAAATTAAAAAAAATACGAAATAAATCTTAAATCATAAAAATATAAATTATCTCGGACTCGTTAAAATCACTGGAATTTTTCTAAAATGCCATATGATGCTTCTCTCTCTACGACTTTTAGAGAGAGAGAGACGACAACGAAGACGATGGTGGTGCCCTTGTGAACGATTTGGTAATTTTGGTTTTGCATTTCCTTATCTGATTTGATTTTCAAATTTTGTCGGGAAAATTCAATCACGGTCTTGTTGTTCACATTAGCCAATTTTCCCGGAATCTTCGGGAGATAATTTTCCAGGATTTCCCTCTCTGTTTGGCGACACGCGGCTTGTCTCTGTTTCGCGGATTGATCCAAAACCTGGGAAAACGCAGAAACCCAGAAAAGGGTTTGAATCGGTTTTCCTCTTTTTTTTTTCGTGATTTTAGAAGTTTGTTTTCCAGGAAAACAGAGAGAGAGAGAAAAGCCATTAAAGGCGACAATTTTTCTCACTCTCTCTTTCGTTCCTTCTGGATCGCCTTTTTGACGGCTCCTACGCCTTTTTGCGGCGATTATTTTCACAAATCTCAGCAAATTTCTATGATATCTCATCGATTTTAGCAAACCCTTGTCTGCAATTTCATCCCTTTGTCGGTCTTCAATCCCCAAATTCTATTCATTTCCTGATTTTCCCCCTCTGCTCTGCGTTTTTCCGCTCCGATCGAATCGGATGGGTTGTGCGAGCTCGAAGCAGCATAAACGTTGCCGCCATTGCCGGCGAGGATTGTCTCCGGTGGTGGCGCCAAGAAGCTATTCGATGCACGTTCATCATCCAGCGACCCACACCGGAGACAGCTACCACATGGTGGCTCTCACTTCCTCAACCATTGGATCTCTCAACCTATGCGACACCCCTCTCGGACATAACCACAAGGACTTGGAAGACTTCACCGCCAAGCTTCTCTCCAAAGACGACAATGGAGACGAGCTTGTGGTCGGCAATGGGTTTCATCACGGTGAGGGAGAGAAAAATCCAGAGAGGGGTAAGGTGGTGAATTTGGATCTGCAGGCTAAGCTAATGGAGGCGAAGGTCTGGTCGAGTATGATGAACAAGAAGATACCGAAAATCGTGCCCAAAACGCCGGTGGTGACGCCTCCTGGTGAGCCTGAAACGATCAATACCTGGGAATTGATGGAGGGTCTTGAGGATATTAGCCCTTTACGATCTCCGAATCACTTGAGGAGCTTCTCTTTCGATATTGTACGTAGCCCTCCAAAGGGTGATCCTGCTCCATTTGATCTTCCCAAGTCGAGGTTCCACGAAAATGGGAATGCTGAACCAATGATGTTTCAGATGGAGGAAGATGAAGATTGCAATTTTCTAGATTTCGACCCGGAAATCATTTCCTCATTCAGGAAGTCTCTCCAAGAACTCCCACCTGACCATCCTTTTCACATCCGGATTCCCGACATGGAAAAGAATCCAAATGTGGAGTTCTCCGATGAACAAGAAGGTCACAGTGAAGAAGAAGAGCCCGGAACTCACGATGAACTGATCTGCAAAAGACCGTCTTTTGGCAAAGACAAGGTGATTCTCTACTTCACAAGCCTAAGAGGCATAAGGAAGACGTACGAGGACTGCTGCCATGTCCGAGTAATACTGAAAGGCCTGGGAATTCGCGTGGATGAACGAGATGTGTCGATGCATTCAGACTTCAAGGACGAGCTGAAAGAGCTATTGGGGGATAAATTCAACAGTGGCGCTGGAGTAACCCTACCAAGAGTTTTCTTGGGGAGGAAGTATCTCGGAGGAGCAGAGGAGATACGGAAACTGAACGAAGACGGGAAGCTCGAGAAGCTTCTAGAAGGCTGCGAAAGGGCCGAAGACATAACCGGGTATGAGTGTGAAGCTTGCGGAGATCTCAGGTTTGTACCATGTGATACTTGCTCAGGTAGCTGCAAAGTATATTATGAATGTGAAGATCATAAAGGAGAAGAAGAAGGAGAAGAATATGGTAAAGAAGAAGAAGCAGAAACAGAGTATGGATTTCAGAGATGTCCTGATTGTAATGAGAATGGACTCATCAGATGTCCTGTTTGTTGTGATTAGTCCTTTGAATTCAAAAAAAAAAAAAACACAACACACACTTCATTTTTTTTGGTTTACTAAATTTCCATTTCAGGGGATTTTCGAGGGTTTATTGTGTTGAGAGTTTGTATTGTACAGTGAGATCCTGAAAAAGGGGGAGATTGGTTTTTTACTGTGTAAAATTGAAAATAGGATTTGTATTGAGTGTTCCATACCAAAACAGAACAGAACTTTACATCAATTAAGCCCTTGTCTGAACTATATGTGATGCTCACATTTTTTTTTTTATAACCATGAGGTTCGTTGGGCCTTCGGCCCACTTAATCCCCTGGGTCCGAAGTCAGCCTTTAGACACGCAATTAATTGCGTCCCCTCCTCTCCACCCGTGGATTCGAACCCAGGACGCCGAGGATGACTTTGTCACCTCTTCGCCACTGGACCACCCACTGTTGGGTCACATTGTTCTTCTTTCAGCATTTATTTTTCCATTTGCACATTTGTTCCTTAATTTCAGTCAATTTGCTTATTTGATCAATTTAATAAATATATTAAACTCACCCATTTATTCATTCATTGGAACAAGAAGCACTTGAAATTGAAAAGCAGAGTAGGTGAAGAACAGACCCTCTCAAAGTCACTTTTGCCTCTTTTTTTTGTTTGTTTGGTTATTTGTGAATATAAAAATAAAAGATTGGAGTATGAATCGAATTTATAGAGTTCGAATTTGAAGATTAAGAAGGTGAAGATGTGGTAGATTGAAAATGTTGATATGAGAACGGAAATATCGGTTTCAAAATAAAAGAATAATGAATTTAAAATAAACCATATCAAATAGTTTTTTTTTCTCTTGACAATATTGATATTCTTAGAATGTGAATTGAGATTTATACAGAGAAAATATTGGTATTTGGAATAAAAATCTGTTATAAAAACAAAAGTGTATTTCGAAAGGTCCAAGGACTGCGATACTTTCAATTACAAAGTCTTTATATAAAACCAATTCCAAAGTCTTTTTCATAATTATATTTATATATATACATAGGCCAATTTTATAAAGTCTAATCAAATAATTAGTGGTTACGGTGGACCGTGTCACGGATGTGCCTAGGTGCAACTCGCATGATGACTAAAGTCTGTATATTTAAATTTATACAGCGATTATTTTTAATATATGATTATGTATTTTAAGGCTATCGTTCCAAGAATCTATCTATGTTTTGTAACAAATATTTTTTTAGTTACGGTCACTAGTCTGAATAGTCAAACCGGTTTGAGGCAAACATAATAAACATTTCCATATATTTATTATAATTTAAATCACAGATTGAATTATCCTTAATTTCGTTTTTTTAATCATTTCCATCCATTTTTTGTACTTGTTTCTCAGCTCTTTTAGCATCTTTTTATAATTTATGAACCTATATTTGACCATTTCAAAATTCAAACGAGAGCTTTAGAATAAGACATGTTAGACGTATAAAGTACTATTATATTGTTTTCCATCATATTGTATAGCCTGCATGGTATGCTAGTACGTATAAAATTAAATTAATTATTACTAGCAAGCCTCTAACATTTGAAAATTCAAACGAGAGTTTAGAAATACAATAGATCTTTAGAATAAAAAAATATATATTATATGGGTCTGCCTCCATGATATGCTAGTACGTATAAAATTAAATAAATCATTAAATTAGCAGACTTCGGAAATTAGGCCCCACCAACCGACACCATTAGCCGACCGACATCCATATCTTAAATTCGCACGGCGCTTCGGACAGTTAGGATCCGCTTGGTTAAATGCCAAGTCAGCATTAAAACTATATAATAAGATAATTATTAAGTTTTGGAAATGTCAAATAATCTTTTATCCAAATAACAACGGAGTATATTTAGCTCTACAATTTTTTATATGGACCTAAACCAATATTGTAGCCCAAATTTCTCACACTGTACAGATGGGTTCCTTGTTGGCCCATGGGTCGGGAATATAGGGTTTAAATATTCCCGAAATTTCAGAATATTTTGTTTATCGGCGGGACGAGTATGGATTCTAGGTGGCCATTTTGGTTATTAACCGAATAACCGAACCGAACCGAATAAAAACGGTTCGATTCGGTTCGGTTATCTGCTTAATAACCAAACGGTTGAGTAAATTGAATAACCGTTCGGATTCGGTTCGGTTCGATTAATAACCGCGGTTAACCGAACGGTTATTGAGTTTTTTTAATATTTTAATTTTTATCCTCATTATTATTAGTATTTTTTTTATACTTCACTTTTAATCTTATATATTTCATCCAATAAACCATAAAATGTAATGTTTTTAACTTTTATCCTAATTATTGAAGTTTTTAGATTTTTTTATAATTTTATTTTACATGATTAATCATTTTGTGCATTTATTTAAATAGATATTTTGAAATTTATGTAGGATTAATAATTTTTTTTTAAAAAAATATATCATAATCGAACCGAACTGATCTAAAACCGAACCGAATAAACCAGAAAATATAACCGTTTGGTTATAATTTTATTATACAAAAACCGAACCGAACCGAACCGAAAGCGAACTGAAATTTGGATATCCAATTCCAATCGTATATTTCAATTGAAAATTTTAACATGATAAAATCGAAATAAAAATAGATATGAATTTAATACTCTGATTTAAGATACTATATAATATATTTCATATAACTTCAATCCATCAAAATATTATTTGAAGTTTATATCTAAATTAAGACTCTGATTTAGTGAATGATTGTAATACAAATTTATTTTTTAAATTTGATTAGGATACACTTCATATTTTCGGATAATTTTGTCGGATACAGCCAAACACGTCTTACGAAGATTGCGGATCTCAAGAGCACGGAACACATCACTGTATTTTTTGTTTTCAAAAGAAAAAGGAGCCATCACCAAAGCCCAGGTTGCCAACTTGTCTATATATGGATTTTTATATTAACAGGCTCAATCTCAAAAGCACTCTGGTAAGAATATTAATAATAAAATACAGACAAAAATATATTTTCTCCCAAAAGACATAATATCAAGGACAACATAAATGCAAATTGATAATAAAAAAAAAAATAATTCAAAAAGCGTATCCAAAGCGAGAAGAATGCATAAATATGTGAAAAGGCATACCCATCAGTCACCGTTACATGAAAAGAAAAAAAAAACAAAGATTCGCTCGCATGAAACAACATGAGTGATGAAGGGCAGGAGTTATGTCTGCATGGCCATCCTTCAGCCGCATCAAGCGATCTCATCTACTGTCCGTACTGTCCCGAGGGAAAGGACGAAGGCTCTCACATCTCCTTCTTCTGCCGTCAATGCGAACTAGACTTCCACGACCGGAAATACGACAAGGCCTCGCCGGAGATTTGCCACCCTTCTCACCCTCGACACCCTCTTTCTCTCCTCCGGAGCTTCGACGCCGCCCGAAAATGCCTTCTCTGCGGACAAAACCTCAAGGTAATCGCTTACCATTGCTCCATCTGTGAATTCGCTATCGATCTCGTCTGTGCGAAAAGGCCGCCGCTTCTCGCCATTGATAACCCCAAGACTCATGACCATACACTCACCCTCATGCCCAGAGAGGTTTCCTTCACGTGCGACGCGTGTGGGATCGAAACCCATGGTCAATCTCCATATGTATGCCCGCAGTGTAACTTCATGGTCCATAAAGAATGTATTGGTTTACCTCGTGTCATACACATAAACCGTCATCACCATCGAGTTTCCATGACGGAATTTCTCGGCCCTGGGAAACGGATTTGTGGGGTCTGTCGGAAAATGGTTGATGGGAGATATGGTGCTTACACTTGCTCTAAGTGTACTGGTTATGCAGTCCATTCGAAATGTGCAACGAGAAGCGACGTGTGGGATGGGAGAGAGCTCGAGGGAGAACCGGAAGAGACCGATGAAACAGAAGATCTAATGCCGTATAAGGTAGTAGCCCACAATGTAATAAACCATTTCAGTCATGAAGAACACAATCTGAAACTCACCGAGGTTGCCCTAGCTTCCGACCCAAGCATGATCTGCGAAGCATGCACCTTTCCTGTCAGCTCTGAATCTGATCCGTTCTACAGCTGTATGGACTGTAAGTTCGCGCTTCATGAGAAATGTGCTAACCTTCCCCGAAAGATACGACATGTTCTTCATAACCATCCACTCACCTTACGGGTAGACACCATACCAAAAGAAAGCGAATATTACAACATTGCCTTCGAGTGTTCGGCTTGCAAGAGACTATGCAGTGGTTTTAAATACGAGTGTTGCGGTATAGAGCTTGACGTAAGATGCGGATCCATTTCTGAACCGTTTTACCACAAAAACCATCACCATCCTCTGTTCCTCACTTCGCTGGACAGCAAAACTTGCGAGGCCTGTCACGAGGAGAAAGGTAACGTTCTGAGATGTACGGACTGCGACTTCGCCTTGGATTTCGAATGCGCGACTTTGCCCACCATTGTTAAGCACAAGAGCGACCAGCATCCACTCTCTTTGAGCCCTGGTGAAGAGGCCCCTGGTCCGTACTGGTGCGATATCTGCGAGGCAAGATTTCTCTCTCTCTCTCTCTCTCTAGCTTTCTTTCTATCTCTTTCTCAGGAAACAAACAGGGTTGTTTCTTCATCTATGATAGGCGGAAACGAGTTCGAAGACGTGGTTTTACTTATGCGACGACTACTGTTGCTCCACTCTTCACGTAAAATGCGTGATACCAGATTTCAAGTACATGAAGCTTGGACGAAGGCTGTTCTTTTGGCGAGCCACGTTCGAAGTGGCTCTCAACAAGCGACCTTCTCAAAAGAGGTATTGCACTATCTGTGGCTGGAGCTGCGAGGACGACTTCTTTCTTGTGAGGAAACATCTCTGCTTTTGTTCTTTCGACTGTTTCAAGCATTTTGTCGGGTACTAGACTCAAAATATTCCACGTGTTATTGTTTTCTAGTATTTTGTTGCAGACGTTGACGTATTCGTACCAAAAAAAAAAAGTTAAAAAAAATATCGTGTTTTTTTGTCTAATCTATCATGAGATTATTTTATTTACGAAATGTTTTCGTATTTGATAGTTTTGTTTGGAATTAAAAGTTACATTCTGTTATTTTTCCGATTGTAGATCTCTTTAAGGGTCGTATAGACATATTTTGGATAGAGATTTGCATAAATGGAAAAGGATCTGACTATTTTCAAGCATGCAAAGTCAATCATTTTCTAATGTCTCTTTCACATGTAGATGAAAGCAATGAAATGTACGTTTTTATTTCTGCTGAATTTCTCTGTATTTAATAATTATGTAATATTAATAATTAGATCCTGTCGTTACTGGATTATTCCTCTTTTTAATATTTTAGGATTACAGAGGGAAAACCCCGATTGAAAAAAAAAAAAAAAACTAGCTATATGAAATGGCAACTCCGTAATTCTTCAAACGACTGTGTTGGGAATCTTCGCATTCTGATCAAGTCAAAGGCCCAAGTTCAGGCCCATTATCAAGTCTAGTACCAGCTTGAGGCCCAAATGCGATGGCCTAAAGCCCAAACAGATGTTGCTTGTAAGGGAGGTACGATTTTCTCCTTTCCACCTCCTTGATCGCCCTGTTCCTCAGGTAAAACTTTTCATGTGCTGAAACCTTCTCCTTCTTCGAATATTCCTCGTTTCGGATTCCTCTCTCGTTTTCGTTAACTGTTTTTGAATTTAGGAATACCATTGAATGTCTCCCATCGCTGCGGCTTCTCCTCAGCAGATCCCTGATTCTCCACCGTTTGACCGACCAGGTCGATGTCGACGATGATCCTGTGGAATTGCTCTTTTTGCAGCATCTGCTCGGAGACATCACAGCCGTTGATCTCGCCGGCTTCCATGGACAATAGATCTCGTTCGGGATTCCCTCCAATTCATCATCCGACGACGATGACGACGATGACTGCGGCGGCGGTTGAGTGGCTGGATCGTCGCGGTCGCGTCGGAACAAATCTCTCACCGAATTCGTAACCGTCGCCGCCGAATCCTCACTGTTTCCACCATCAGATCCGACGCCGTAGCTATCCGAGATGAGATTCTGATCAAAAACCGGGAAAAGTAGTCCGCCGTATGCAGAAGCCGCCGCCGTGTCAGGGTCAGTCCGGAGATCGACGAACTCAAACTCGACATCATCATCATTATCTCCTTCGCATTCAACGACTCTGCTTTTCTCCATCCGACAATCATCCGATTCTCCGACGACTTCGCGGCCAACTCGATCGGCGACTTCCGTGTGGCGATCACCGGAGTAGCTGCTGAAGCTGGGACAAAACGCACTTGAATCATCGTTTCTCTCCATCTAAAGCTCGGGATAATCTGTCTCTCTCTCCCAAGGGTTTACAGTTGAGGAATGAAAAGAGCGCGAGGCTTCTTCAATGGCGTTTTGTATTTGTCTTCCATGAAAGAGACGTTTGTGCGTGTATATGTAGGAGAAGCTCTCGGGGAAGCGAGTGGCATTTTAGGTAATTAAATGAAGCGCAGTTGTCTAAGAACATCGTTGACTTTCTAGAAGGAAATCCGCTTCTTGATGAAGAGGTTTAGGTGAATATATTTTCTTAAATAATAAATATAGCTTTTGGTTAATCAGATCCTGATACCTTAATTTAACGCGAACTGCCAGAAATATATATAATACAAGACGTCGTACCACTACTAATGTATCGTATAATTCTCCATATATATATATATATGCGTGCCCATTAAGTTTTTTTTTAGACTCATTTTTTAAATGAATATGAGCAAATACATACATACGTATATATTATGAAGAAAATAAAATGTGTCATCTTTCACTAAGATTTGTCGAAATTTCCGTATATAAATATCTTTTCAATTTTTTTTTTTATCAGTAATATTATATTTAAAAAATTAGTAGAGTAATTCTAGACCCTTCTTTATAATTCAAATCGTGAAAAGATCATCGACTAAACCAACAACGTGAAAAATGGGTTGACATCTGCCGCAAACCCATCATGCGTAGGACAAGGAGAAGCTTATATTTAATCATTTGACTGCTCGGTTCAACACGGTTACGATATATGACTGATTAAAATCAAATACTTAAGATGATTTGGTTCAAAAACTACTTATTTTTGTACATAATTAAAAACGAATATTTTGAATCCGCATTCGAAACTGAAACATATGTCGATCCCATTGTTCAACTTAATTTTAATATAAAGGGTACGGCCAATTTGGTTAATAGCCAAACAATAGAATCAAAAACCATATAATAAAGCTTATTTTAATATAAGGAGTACATTAACCAATTTGGCAAATAATCAAATAATCAAATCAAGAAGCATACAATAATAGAAGTTAATCCCTTTAAAAATTGGATTGTTATAAATTTTCTAAAACCTGAAATTCAAATCCAAAGAGAGTAAACAACATTGCTAAGCAAATGATTTTTTAAATAAATATTTTAATCAATAAAAAAACCAAATCCAAAAGCTTGTTAAATCAACAAAATTTAGTAAAAACCAAAATCATTATAATTTCTAAATCTAAAAAAATAACCAAACATATGTAACCCAATCCAAGATGGTACTGGTGCTAATAGGGGGCGTTTCGCTTTGATTTTTTCAAACCGAATCATACCGAATTTAAAATCTTAATATCTCTTCTGAATCATATCATTAAAAATGTTCGAATAGAATAATTTTTTATATTCGCAACCGAACCAAATTTTATAAAATTTTCAAACAACAAATTTCCTTACAAAAAATTAATTTTTTTTAATAAAAACCAAACTCAAACCATACCAAAACCAAACCGAATAATATACAATACTAATTTAGTACAAATTTTAAAATACCAAATAAATCATTCTCGAACCGAATGGCTTAGATTAGATATACACTAATTTTAGATCTTAAATCCAAACCCAACACAAATGAACAAAGGGTATACTTGTAGTTTTAAGCAGCTTGATTTCTTTTTTCGTTACTCGCAATGTAACATTTTTTTATAAACCCACGAATCAAAGAGAAAATCGACAAAATAATTAGGTAAATTTTTTAAAAATCAAATAAATCAAATCTTAGAAGGAAAAAAAAAACCCAAACAGCAAATAAGAAAATAAATATTTTGTAATTAAAACCCACGAGTCAAATAGAAAATCGACGGAATCGGAATAAATAAACCACTGGTTCAACAACAAAATTAAATAAAAAAACACAAAGGAAAAAAAAAAAAGGGGGAGAGGGCTCAGGGAGTAGCATAATGTGCTCAAGGAAGAGCCTTTTGAAAGCTCTTCTCATACAAGAGGTGTCAGAAAATTATTATGCATTCTTCATCTTCGCCCTTTTTCAATAGAAACATTTTTAGAAAAAAAAAAAGAAATCCGAAAAAAAAAACGCCTTTAGAAGGATAACAAGGCTGCGGCTTATGAACAGACGCATATGTAACCGCTGCTAGGGTTTCGCTTCTGTCTTGACGCAGTAGCTGTGAGACTATGGATGGGGTTTTATAGATACATCTCATTGGGCTTCACTCATTTATATAAATAGCCCATTGGGCTTATTCACGTATAACCTTAAGGCCCATTAGTTTACAACTTGAGGCCCATTGGTTCGGACCCCTCTTACACCATCTTCCACTTTCTGTTATTTCCGTTGATCATGCAAAGCCGGTTTTGCATCGAATCGAATCGGGGTTAACCAATGGTCCGAACCAAAATCCAAATAACCAATATAACCGGAACGATAACCGAATGGGTAACCCTTTGCACAACAAAAGCAAAACGAACTCTATCACGATTCACGAGAGCGTACCATAATATTAAAAAAAAAAAATCTTAAAACCCCTCTTCCTAAAAATCACATAGACGATTGAACCACCATCACCAGAATCTTGCTTTTCAGATAATGAAAGCTAAAGATTCTAGAGCTGCAGTTAAAACGACAAACGACGTGTGTTGGGTGAAGGCTGTCGTGTTCTCGAACTTGGATTCTCTGAGATGGATAAGATAAAAATCCGGTTCGGCTGAGCTAGCTCCGGAATTTTGGTCATGAAGATGCATTCTTTAAACCCATGAAAAAGAAAAGATCAAATTCTAGATCTTTGTTCCTTTCTGGCAAGCAGAAGAGCTAGGTTTCTCAGCTAGGCATTTCGACGAACACGTTATCGGCAACGGCTTTCACGGCGATAGCGTCCTCTCGATTCTAAAATGATCCAAATTACAATAATTTCTCAAGCAAATCGACAATTCAAGATGCAAACTGTACTAACAACAAAAAAGGATCCTTAAAATTTCCAAGACATTTGTTTTTTTGTAACCCTTAGGCAATAGAAACCTTAGCACCAGCTTCTTCGAGCTGCTTCTTCGCTTCTTCTGCTTCTTCCTTCGACACACCTTCCTTGAACTTCTTTGGCAACCCTTCAATGAGGTCTTTCGCCTCCTTTAACGCCAGGCTCGTCAGAGCCCTAACCGCCTTGATCACCGCAATACGCGCGCTGCTCGGAACCTCATCGATGACCACATCGAACTCCGTCTTCTCCTCCACCGCAGCCGCCGCTCCACCACCGTCTCCTGCACCCGGAGCGGCGACGACCGCCGCGGGTCGACAGTTAAGATGCATTCTTTAAACCCATGAAAAAGAAAAGATCAAATTCTAGATCTTTGTTCCTTTCTGGCAAGCAGAAGAGCTAGGTTTCTCAGCTAGGCATTTCGACGAACACGTTATCGGCAACGGCTTTCACGGCGATAGCGTCCTCTCGATTCTAAAATGATCCAAATTACAATAATTTCTCAAGCAAATCGACAATTCAAGATGCAAACTGTACTAACAACAAAAAAGGATCCTTAAAATTTCCAAGACATTTGTTTTTTTGTAACCCTTAGGCAATAGAAACCTTAGCACCAGCTTCTTCGAGCTGCTTCTTCGCTTCTTCTGCTTCTTCCTTCGACACACCTTCCTTGAACTTCTTTGGCAACCCTTCAATGAGGTCTTTCGCCTCCTTTAACGCCAGGCTCGTCAGAGCCCTAACCGCCTTGATCACCGCAATACGCGCGCTGCTCGGAACCTCATCGATGACCACATCGAACTCCGTCTTCTCCTCCACCGCAGCCGCCGCTCCACCACCGTCTCCTGCACCCGGAGCGGCGACGACCGCCGCGGCGGGAGCGAATGCGGCGGCAGAGACTCCGAGCTTGTCCTGGAGGTAGTCGACGAGGATGCGGGCTTCTTCGAGGGTTAAGGACGAGATCTTGGTGCCAAGCTTCTCGATTTTCTCCGGAGCTTCGACGGCAGCAATGGGGCGGAGGTGGGTGGCGCGGTGGGAAGAACCGCCGAGAGAACGGAGCGAGAATTCGACGGAGTTGGGTCGGGAGAGGAAGAGGTGCGTACGAGAAGAGACCGAAGGGGGTGAAGGATAAGATGAGGCACGGATTGTGCTCGCGATGGAGAGAGTCGCTGCCATTTTCGCTACCTGCTTCTCCTTCCTCTTGGGGGTGTTTTGTGTTTGCTTCAGTCTCTAAAGATGAAGAAGAGGATAGGAAAAGAAAGGATAAGGGGTACTTTAGGAATAAAAAGATCTCGCGTTCACGTAGATGCCTGCATCTACACACAGGATAAGCCGGTCGATCGCTGAAATGACGAAAATACCCTCCGAGAGGAAGTCGGAGGATCAGAGAACGAAAGTTACAAGGCTCATTGCCAAAACAACAAAGGAATGGATCGAATTTGCATTGGACCGTTCTTCATTACGACAGAAGTATATCAATGTAATAAACATAAAGTAGTTTCTGAAATCATCATCCTATATTTCCTATCAATGCTACAAACAACAACCAGTGGCTCTGAATCAAATCCCCAAACCAATCGCCCAGCGTTTTTTCACCACCGGCGGCGTCTCCTGCCGTACCAAAACGCAAACGCAGCCACAGACGCAGCCACTACAACCCCAGCCGCCGCGTTCCAAACGTGCAAAGGTTTCTCCATCACGACAACAGCAGCAGAAGAAGTAGAAGAAGAAGACTGCTTCAATGTCTCACCGCCTCCAGCATCTGGAACTGTCTGTTCTTCCACTACTCTCTTCGCAAATCCCAACCCTTTCTCTCCCAATTCCTCCAAGTCAGTGACCGCTGGCTTTAACCGAGCCGCCTTTGCGATGTCTTCGTACTCTTCCTTGGTCCCTCCTTCGAGAAACGACCCGACCAGTTGACCCTTTTTGACCCAGTACGCCCCGAACACCTTGCCGTTTTCATAGTCCCCAAAGTGCACGACTTCACCCGCCGGGTCGCCGTAGAATTGCCACGAGAGGGCGAAGACCCTCGAGTAGAAAAACGGCAGGTAGTCGAAATCCCCAGTTTTCTCTGGCTCCATGATGGCCGAAACGGCGTGGCGTGCAGATTTCCTAGCCGAGTCCACGTGCTCGAGCCTCCTCGTCTCCCCGAATAGTTTGACGGGAAACGCCGCGACGTCTCCGATAGCGTATATGGAGCTGTTGCTTGATTGCATTTTGCCGTTCACTTTGATCCCTCCTTTCTCTATCGTTAACTGTCCCTCGAACAAGCTCGTGTTCGGTCGGATCCCGATTCCAACCACGACCATGTCTGCCGGCAGCTGGTTTCCATCTCTGAGATTAACACAAATAACCTGCAGGCCCATCTCGAAATGCTCAGGATATCACATTTACGTCAAGGAAGTTTGCAAGGAGAAAAGAATTGAGCAGGAAATGGTGATACATGGACACAATATTCAGAGATCGGTTATCTTATTGATTCTTCTCATCTTATACGGATGAATAACTAGATGAGAAGCACCAGAAGTTTGCAGACATTATACAATCTTTGTCTGAAAGGTTTTTCTAAGCTATAACAAGACAAGATTTTACCTTTCCATTCGGGTCAAACTCGAAAGAAGACAAAACTGTTCCTTTGACGAACTTCACCCCTTTAGCCTTGTAGTATTCTTCATAGTAGTTTGCGATTTTTGGCGTAAAGAGACGTGCCACTGAAACAGAAAACCGAAAAAGGTTAATACAATATAGAAACACCGACGACACATATACTCTTTTTCCATATGTGGCAAAGAGAAGTAACTGAGTAATCTTACTGCACTGTTCTTCTGGAAAGACCATCGTCACGTTAATTTTGTTAATCACTAAAGAGGCAGCACACTCCATACCGATATATCCACCGCCAATTACAACGGCATTACCATTAGTGCTTGATTGCATCACGCTTACAAGCCTATTTGCATCACCCAGATCTCGTAAATAACAAACGTTTTCAGCATCTGATCCATTTACCCCGAATTCTTCAAGCTTCAATGCCTGCAATTCAAGCAATTCGTAAAAAGATTAAGCCCCGGAATTTTTACAGTATATTCCAAGCTGTACCAATATAATATTGTTTCTCATAAACATTTTTATATCTCAGCATCTGTTTCCTTAATTAAAAAAAAAACAGATGTAGATATTAGTAGAATGATAATCTGTTTGTGAGAACCATAAACTACTTTTCCGCCAAGCCTGGACTGACTTAGATAAGGACACTATTGAGAAGTCCATACCCGGGCACCAGTTGCAACAATCAAGAACTTGTAACTTATAGTCTCGCCAATGGCTGTTAAAAGCGTTTTCCTTCTCACATCAACCGACTTAACCCGAGTTCCAAGGACCAATTCGATTCCTAAAACAAAAGTGAGAGCCCTCATAGTTCAAGAAAGACGAAATATTTTTGTTTTTGAAACCGATCAACTCAAAGCATTTGTGAAAGAGTAAGAGAAGTATCTACCATGTTCCTTGTACCATTTCGGGGTTAGCTTCTCGTCATTAGCTCCAACACATGTGTGAAATGAAGGAAGCCGTGAAGGAGCTGCGGATAAGACCATACATAAAGAGTGAATCTATAAACCAATTCCTTATATCTCGAGAAATTTCTCATAGCAAAGTCTCTCAAACTCCAAATATATGCAAAAACAAAACACATCCACAGTGTTTGTCTCACCTTCTGGCAGCAGAAAACCTTTGCTTAATGCCGGCCTCTCATATGGTGCGACCTGAACAAAGGGCGGATGCAGAATCTTAATCTCTACTCAGCAAACAAACAGAAGATCTCAGTCTTTTGTTACCTTTTCATTAGCAATAAGAAATCCCTTCGTATAATTAAACAAGAGACGGGCACTTGCTTGGACAAGAACAAACGAGAATCATGAACCAGAAAACGGGTAGCCGCGATAAGTGAATGATTGTTTGGAACACATTGGTCTATGTGGTAACATTCATAATGATATGATCAATGGTAAATCTCCCACATTTGCAACAGTCTAAGTGCTTAGTTCACGTATCAGCTCCTTGCAAAATTTGTACAGTCTCTCTTCCAAAGGCAAGCTCTTTTCAAAGCAATACAAATTTCACAAAATTCCCAAGATAGAAACAACGTTTCCTCAATACAGAATCACTTAACCACAAAATAGCTCCACATTTAGCAAAATTCTAGTTTGAATTATTTCATAACTCAATATCGTCTTTCTGCACAAAACAGAGTTCCACAAATGAAGTCTTTGCAATTGTAAGAAATTATTGCGGAAGAAAAAGTTTTAAACACATATAATCAAGGCTTGATCCAAAACTAAAGGCCCAGAAAATCCCTTTCAAGTAAAAATTCAAAATCACTGGTAGTGAACTGCAGAGAGACTGAAATCGGAGAGAAATTTCTGTGAGAGAACTATAAATACTTGCCCAGCTAAGGCACCACAGGACCCATCAGAGAAAAACAGAGACGTTTCCCTGAGGGTAGGGAAATTTCCACCATTTTCTCGCTGGCCAAGCACGAAAATCGAATATATACATGAGAGAGATTGTCATCAGCTTACGGGTTCTTCCGAAATTATGCAGAGTTCGCCATGGGAAACACCTCGCCTCGTGAATTCGAGAGCTGCATACCCAGCAGCCACGCCCCCGCCGAGAATCACGTACACGAACGCTCTACCCATCAGCGTTTTAATTTTCCCTCACTTTCCCGGAAAATTCCCAGACATTGGCAATAAATATTCGAATAATTTTGATGGGGGAAAATTTGAGGGGCAGAAAAATTTTCTGAGACTGCCATCGGATCTTTCCACACCCGTGGTATCAGACGGTTGTGGTGTCATTTTACAATATTACCCCTCTTGACTTCTCTATTTACGCTATCGTCTGGAAAAAATTTAGATAATCGCTACGCTCAAATCGGGACCGTCGTTTTTGACAGATCAAAGACAGTGGGACCCATCTTGACTCGGTGGCCCATCGTAATCAGCACAATTGTTTAACTTGTAATATTATAATTTTTGTTGGATAATATTAATTAATATTATTTTCGTTGCACAAAATCATTTTTCTGTGGCTATAATAATAATAACGAAAGGATGTGATCAAGTAAATGTAAGAATAAGCAAACTCACAAAACTAATTGGCACTAATATATTCCAAAAATGGAAATTGGATATGTGGAATGGAAACGATTGATCTCCACGTCATTACCGAAATTCCCTTGCGTTGGGAAGCGTGATGGAGGATGAGGATGACGGTCCAAAAATTAAATCCAAAGGCAAATTGAACAATTTCATTATTTTTGTTATTTTATTTTATTTTATTTCTGGACCGCAAAACACAACCTCTCATGATGTTTTAAGATGAGGTTCCGACGCTCTCCATATCTGTGCCTCATAATTATGTGGTTCGGAACAATTAAAGTATTATCCTCTTCCCCCCCCCCCCC